GCCCCTATACATTTAAAGCCGGAGGGGGTGGGGGAAGTGTGTCGGTTGGTTTGTTACCCAGAAAGCAGTTGGGCACAATATCGCAACACCAACACCGTGATGAAACAATGACTGGGGCAGCCGACTATATAAAGTACTCGGGGACCATTTTATTATTACACATCCACATTTGTAGAGTACGGAACAATTCGCGTCCCTAACTGTAGTGTCTTTTCTGTGCGCCTTATATATGAAAAAAGTTTTAAAATAGACCATAATCTATATATAAGCCTTATCATGCGGAAAATACGGTATATGAAAAATCTACTTGCTGTGTGCTTTACAACCTTCATGCCTCTCATTTGATGTCTCTCCTTTTAAAATTAGAAATAATTTGATTGAAATAATGTTATTTTGCTCCCATTACATCTTGTGTGTCGACCAAAGACGATGCAGCGCAGCATTATCCGCTTCCTCACATAACATGACGGCTTGGACGAGCAGAGAGCAATGCATTTAGAGATCTCAATGAAAAATTCACAAGCTTCCCACTTTTGTAGATTATTTGTTGGTTCTTATAATCATCGCTGCCTTCATGTACGTGCAGTGAATATGGATTGTTGCTTTTGAACTCATGCTTTCTGAATTCAACTACGAGCCACAGAGACTGCTGAAGCGGCATATCAGCCTTGGTTGTGGAAAAACAAATCAATGAGTGATTGACTAACCTTCATTACGTCATTACGTGTGACTAATTGAGATACCCCATACCAGGGGTCTCGGTGCTCTAGAGCTGGTGTCCGGGAACTTTTAGACGTGTCCCTGGTTCAACACACCTGAATCAAATGGTTGAATTACCTCCTCAGGCTGCAGTCAAGATTTCCAGAGACCTGCTAATGACCTCATTATTTGACTCTGGTGTGCTGAAGCAGAAACAAAAAGGTTGCAGGACTCCGGCCATCCAGAACTGGAGTTGAAGACTCCTGGCTTATACCTTCTGAATACACAGTAATTGGTCTTTACTTTGTATTTGAATGTTACCATTCCCAACCAACCAGCCAAGATTTCGGTGTAGCCCTTTTTGTTTTGCTGTAAATTCCCACGGCTAGCTTAGAAACATTTAAATAAGAAGCAGGTTAGCTCTAGTCTGATATCGATCCAAGATAAAAAATAAAAAGAAAGAAGAAAAACATAAATTGTGATTTTTAAATTAACCACTTGTACCTTTCACATATCTCTGTATTGACTTTGTCTGGGTCAAGATCTCTTATCGTGAAATAAAATAAATAAATATTCTTGTTTCTGGGTCCATGCAGGGCTGAATACATTACCAATGATATGGAAAATAAATGATTGACAGACAAAGATGGTTTAGTTTGTAAATGCAATACTTCAAACTCAACTATCCCACCTCTGTGCTGCAGATCACTCCCTGAACATTGCTGCATCAGCAGAAAAAATAAAATAAAAATCATATCCCTCACACTCCCAGGCGTTGCCTTGTTTCTGCCCAGGCTTAAGTGGAAAAACAGAATCCTGAATGCAGCAACATCCACACAAGAAACAGGGTAAAGGAATCAGATTGTTCAACTCAAGAAGTGGGTCAAGCTAATAAACATTAAGGCAGACATGGAGAGATTTGCAAAGAACAATTCATAAACTGGATAACTAAGCAGGTAATTGCTCAGTTTATATCTGTAATAAAATATAATGAAAAATACAACTTTCATAATGTTTAAAAATGGTTTTACTTACTATTGAATTCAGAGTAACATTAATATTTCAATCTAACGTACTTCCTGTCTGTATTTACTTTATGACCAGGCATTTGGTCAAACTGTGGATGTAGAACAAAGCTAGCTCATGCTAACTACTTAAGAAACAAGGCTAAAAGTCACATAAATGAAAGAAGGTCACCAACACAGTTCACTGACATTACCTATATTATAAAGAATGAATTTTTGATTTCTTATTTGATCTCGTGGGAAAGGTTTAGTAAATGCTGATCGGGTCATTATTCGGGTCAAAAATTGAGTCCTTTGAAGAATGATGAAAGATTTGTTCAGCAAGCTGCTGCTCAACTTTAGAGCAGTGCAGACATGTTCTCTGGAGTGATGAATCATCCCTCCCTCTCTCTCTGAAAATCTAATGGACATGTCTGGGTTTAGCTACCAGGAGAGTAGCTCTTTCCTGACTGCACTGTGTGACAAGCATAAGGTTTGGTGCTGAGGGGATTAGTTCCTTGGTTCCAGCAAGAGGAATCCTTTATAATTCAGCACACTAAGACATTTTGGTCAAATTTAGGCTTCTATTTTTGTGTGTGAATTAAGTTTGGTGTGGAAATATATATCTAACTTGGACATAGTCTTGACCCGAACCCGAAGAGAAAAAACAAAACAAAACAAAACAACACTTCTGGGATAAATTAGAGCGGAGTCCGTGACCTTAGCTCAGCCCGTTTGTCCAACATCAGGGTCTGACTTCACAAATATGCCTTTGGAAGAGCTTTGAAGATATAGTTCAAGTTATTCAAGAAATCAATATTTTTCTCTTCTTTGAAAATATGGCCATTTTAAACAAAAGCATATATTTTCAATTTTCTCCATGCTGCAGAAAGCAAGTACAGATACAGGAAATCCATACGAAAAAAAAAAAAAAAAGTTTATTCTGGGTCACCATGACCACTCTACCAATCTTATCTATTTTACTTCACTTCATTCCATTTTGTTCTCAGACTCTGCAGTAAATGTTTGGATTTAATAAGTGACCTTCAAGCTTTTCATGGATTTTTTTCCCTCCCCCCTTACTTTTGTTTTCATGTCTGGTTTTACCGATGACAAATAATTGAAAACGTATGAAAAGCTGCTTGGAACAGAATGACTCAGTTAAATGAGGCATTGTAGGCACGCTCTTAACTGAATACGTGCAATCTGGATGTCAAAACACACAAAGGCACCAACAAAACAATAATCGCATGACAAAACCAAAAGTATATACACAGATAGAAAAACAAACACCCCAGTAATTTCTTTCATCTCGTGCAGCAACAGATTCCTCCGGCTGCTCGGTATTTCTGGGGCATACCTCTCAACACTTGAATTAGTAAAACGTTAACTCGTGTTGGAATGCGCCGCAGAAGGAATACTCTGCCAGTTAAAATTTCACACATCAAAGAAACACACACACACACACACACACACACACATATGTATGCAGAAATAACAGATTTAGCAAACACTTGAATTGTGGAAAGTTGCATTTTTGCTGCTCTGTATTCACTGACTGGCTATCGTTTGGATATAACTCACTCCTGAGAGCAAAGGCCTGACACCCCACTGTGTCTCCCATTGGTTTACTTTTGTTTTTGTTTTTCCTGTGCTGTAAAATTGAATTCCCCGGCTTGCTCACTTGGGAGCAATCTGCCTGAATTTACTGCAGCTATAATACCATTTTCCTCGGAAAGGTGACCTCCACTCCAGGTGTGGAAGATCCATCATAGATTCCTCTGTCACCTCCATTTCTGCCGATAATGATGACATTCCATCGCAGCGTACTGTCATGCTTGTTGATGGCTTTGTGCCGAAAACAATCCGAGGGTTTGGCCCTTAAGTAAGCGTATCGGGGTGAATTGGAGCATGTTTAAAATGTCAAAACTGATACCTGTGTTAGAAAGCGCACACTTTAATAAAAACAAAGAAAGAAGTCATAGAAAGAGTTGGATGAACGTTCATCTATTGCCTTCTGCATCAGAACTCAGGTGTCCATTTCCTCGCATTCTGGGATGTCCTGAGGCCACATGAGATTTAAATTAAGTGTGCTTTGACTGGGTCTTTCCTCTCAATCAGCCTCCTCCTCTGTTAAACAGCTCCTAAATTTATACCTAAAGTAGGTATGCAAAAATGTATTTCAATAATCTATATTAACTCATGCTTTTAACAGCAATAGTCTTACAAGTTACAGTTTTGTTTTTAAACTAAAGCAATCAGATCCGGTTCAGCATTTTTACATTTTGTTTTCGTAATAGTCAGTATCGTCATACCGTTAAAATCTCCCACTGTCAAATGTCTAAAATGTTTTGGTCACCACATGCTGGAAAGCGTACATTGACCGAAAGAGTGAAGTTTTTATTTAATTTGCAAGACAATCACAAATACCAAGTTGCTTTATGTACAAAAGGTTAGAAAATTAGTTTAAAAAAACAAGTTCAGTAAACAGGGTTCTGAGCAGATGAAACTAAAGTTAAACCTGAATCAGAAAATGTCAGAGAAGAACCTTCACACATGATCCGAAACATACGACGTGATCTAAAACAAATCAAAACAATGAGATTGCATGGATAGACATGGCTACCAGTGGATTCCTGCCCTCATACTGATCATAAGATTATATGGATGTATTTCATACATAGAGATTTACAGCCGTCTCCAGTTCAGGCAGATGTAGCTGAACAGTCTGTGGATGGCAATATGATGCCAAGACAGAGCAAAGTTCCTGAAAGGAAAGTGGCAAATTATTTGGCAATGGCTAAATCAAAACATTTCATAAGCTAAATTGTACTTGATTAAAACAAATCTGGATGTAGATAAAGCGAAGTGCAAAAATGATTGAAAACAGGTGCAGTAAGAGTCTGGAGAATCTTGTTGGGGGGGAAAAAATATGGCTTTAGTACAATTGCTGACAAAGAAAGTCTTTACTTCTCCTTCAATGAACTTCTGAAACATGAAAGCATTTCGTTATGCCAAACGTAAAAGCCTCCAAGTTTTGGCTTTCCACATGTTTTTTCAAACTTCAAACTTTTTTTCACATTTTGTCACAACCATAAAATTATTATTCTCTTCAATTTTGTGAGAGACCAACACGTAGAGATACGCAATTGTGAACTGGAAGGAAAATGACGCACGATGTGAATACATATGGCATCCATATGTATACACCTCCTCTAAGTTAATATTAAACCTATTAGGGCACATTTTCACAAACCCAAAAAGACAAAGAACCCAAAAATGCAGGCAGACACAGAGCATGTTTAGAAAGGTTTATTCTCAACATGCAACTGGTGGGAGTCGGAAAATCTCTGTAGAGAAAGAGTACAGTTTAGGAGCCGTAGAGAAGTCAGAATTTGCAAACATTAAATAGAAAGCCACTCACCTTTTTCTGGACCAGGATACAGGCTTTGATCGGAGATGGATGTCCCTACATGCTTTTTATCCTTTGTGAGCATCCAAAAGAAGGTGACCGTCTCTGTATCCAAACATTTCCTTTCCTGCCTGCAAGCTGTGTTGTTGCTTACACCTCTCTTGAGAGGAACTAGGAAGCAGAGAGCGTACAGGATGATGTCACAACAGGTAATGGGAAAAAAAAAAACAACAACAAAAAAACAGAGCAGGCTTGGTTCAGCACACAGAAGTCAGAAGACACAGCAGTGACAAATTCAGGATCCAGAGGGATAACAGTGAGATGGGCAAGAGTCACGGACAAAGACGGAGGGATAAGACTGTTTATCCTAGGGCTTGGTAAGGCTTGGTGGTCAGGGCACAGAAACAGAGTCGATGCCCAGAGATCAGATGCTTGGCAGAAGTCGGATGAAGGCAAGAGAGAAGAATCCAGGGCACAAAGTTCTAATGAGGAGGTCAGACAAGGGCATGGAAGAAATGCTGGACATCTAGTGGGGGGAGGTTTCAACAATCAGGCACCGACAAGGAGGCAGGAGAGCGCTTCAACAGAACAGATCACATGTAGGTGAAATCATGCTGATTGCAGCAGAGGAGGTGTGTGTGACCAGGAAGGAGAAAAGGGTGACACGTATGCATCGATGGCGATTTTTAAGCTTTACCACAAATTTGTAGCATACATGTTAAACATATGCAGTGATGTGGCCTATCGGAAGCCAAGGTTTTGGCTTGAAAAAGGAAAGGTAAATAACAGACACATAATTCATATTTAATGTTGGTACCATATATTAAAGTGACTTGGAAAAAAAAAAAAAAAAAACTAAATAAATAAAAAAAAAATTCCCCATATTTACAATCTGCAGACCGTATCGCACCTGGTTTAGTCGATCGCGATACAAATCAAAAAGGAATAGAACCCAAAAAATGGAAAACATTTGTAGAGGCACTAGATTGAAGGACGGTTCACATCATACACACAAGTACCATTTTTGTCCATATAATAATGCAAGCCTTGCCAGAAAAAAAAAAGTTCAAATACTTTGTTAAACATCTCACATTGACCATCTCAGAGAATATTGGCTGCACTCAAAGACTGACGATTTGAAGTCATCAGTACTACACCCTTAGGTCTGACCCCCATTAGAGACTACACTCACCATCCAACTGAGTTGAAATTGGCACTATAGGAGTAAGAGTAGACTTTCATGAGTGTACAGTTTCCACAGCTTTGATGAAGCAGGGCCTAAAGTTTTCAGGCTTGAATAGGTCTGGTAATCCATTCCTAATGGAGCCATTTTTCTCAAGATCACATTTAGTTGCACTAATCCTGACTGGAGAGGAATAGTGGCAGTGTCTTCTCGAGACTACGGCGCTGACATTTCAAAGTTTTGATGTGAATTGTGTGACCAATGGCACAAAAACAAAAACAGTTAATGAGATTTTAATTTCAAACCCAATAGATTTTTATTTCCTGGAGCTGGCGGTGAAACACGTTTCCATGTTCTTTTACAAAGGCTTGGGATTCCTCTGGACTCTGAGACATTCGCCGATGTCTTGAGAAGTACCAGGTAGAAGAGCATGTGGATTTTAGGAGGATGGAAAATAACAAATTAAGTTTTGACTTTCGACTGGCCTCGGTCAGATACTATAAACGATTTAGTCGTGAAATGTGCAACTGCATTAATCTGAATAAGCATAAACAAACAGCGTCAAAGGCTTTGAGACTCCACTGAATCCTAATGACAGTTCTCATCCACAAATGGACAAAACGTATGACAGTGATGAATCTTTCCAGAATCTGCTGGTATACCAAAATTTCTTCTTTTATTTTTTTGATTTTAAGCTTCTCCATTTCTAATTTTTGCAAGGTACGTTTTCGAAATAATAGTAAGAAGACACAAAATTAACACAAACAGTCAAACATGGTAGTGTGAGGGTCTTGGACTGCTTTGCTTCCTCGGGACATAAAATACTTGTCATAATTAATAGAATTGCTCTCTACCAGAACCTCTAGATGCAGAACATCCAGCCAATGTTCACTTTGTGACCTTAAGCTCAAAATCATTTGGACAAAGCAGCAGCACAATGATCCGGCGCACACCACCAATCCACCTATAAATGTCTGAGTGGCATTAAGTCTGAACCTAAATCTTACTGAGATTCTGTGGTATAACCTCAGACCGATTACGATTACAATTCCTGATTGAAAACCCTCCATTGTGGCTGATTTAAAACTATTCTGCTAATAGAAATGGTAAAAAAAATAAATAAAAAATAAATCTGATTGCCAACACTTATTATTGCAAACACTTAAAATACCTTCTCACCTCGGGTCAGGTTGGTTTGGATTGCTTTTTTGCTTAACGAATGAAATAATTATTTGAAAGCTGCTTTCAATTATTCAACATATTTTTAAATCCAGGGTAATGATCGGAAACATCTAAGAGAGATAAAAATGAAAAACAGAATTAATTTGGGTAAAATATGTTGCTCTTAGAAGAAAGTAAACACCACTGTTAGACCTGTTCAGTTCTTGTTACAGAGCAACATTGTTGGAATGAGCTTTGATGAATATTTAAATAATCACCAAAATATATGAATTCGACTACTGCAGGATTATCATTTGTAGGAGAAGCCATTTTTATCACCAATAATTGCTGGTGATGCAAAAACTGCTGATCTTCACATTCATTGACTTTATTTATTTACCGGTATGTTAATTTTTAGTGATTTCTCCAATTTATTAATTTATGTTTTGGCAAATTTCATTTTGAAAAGCAAGAGTGGGATTCTGCTTTATTTTTTAAATTACCACCTGCCAGTTGACTTTCAGATGATCTGTTTTGTAATCTGAGAATTTCACACAACATGCAGAGCTCAGTCTAAACAGGGCAACACAAAGTCCTTAAAGAAATTAAAGACATGTTTATCTCAAAAGGTTATAAAATAATAAAAACACATTTTAGATTTAGAAAAAAAAGCACCCCTTTTCAATTAAAACTTCTTTTTTGAATGTTTCTTCTGCAATGATTCAAAGTCCAACTCATCGAAGCAGCAAAAGGTCCACATTTGTGATGTTCACTGATGAAACTTAGCTATAATTTGCATTTGGATGCACCAGGTCAGCATTATCATATAGTGAGTTTAGAGCAGAAATTCTGAAGAGCGACTCCTGGACCTTTCTGACCCTCACTAATGCCCTGCCTGAGGTAACGTATAACAATGAAAATATGCAAAACCTGCAACCCGGAGGTGTGTAATGACCACTGGTTATCATATGTCTCATGTAAAAAGGGCTACAGGCCACTCAGTATAAAATGATCCAGTTCATTAATATCACAATAGCTGTAAAGCTGCCAGTGCCACTCTGTCCTTATCCCACATAAAACTGATTTGTGGTAGCTTCAATCTGCCAGCCCTCGGTCTTCTTAATGATCATGAGATCCATCACACTCATTTAATCAGAGCTGTAAGGAAAGCAAAGAAGATCTATGAGGCTATTGTTTGGTTCAATGGGTTCTTTTGTGACGGTACTCTCACAGTTTTTCTCCTCTCCTTAAATCTAGATTATACAGTCTAATTTGTAATTTAGAGCATGCAAAATGTCAATTGTTCCAGGAATGTTGATGGTAGTGGTGAACGGAGATCCTTTTATCTCTCAGTACAGGTTAGGGGAAGAGTAAATGCAATAGTCTGTGTTCTTAAAGTTAGTGCTGATGTAAAAAAAAAAAAAAAAAGTTTTCAGGTTTATAATACTTAATAAAACAGTTCTTACCTAATTAACTTTTCCGTTTAGTCACAGTAGCACCACAAACATCAATCATTTCTACTGGATTTTTATGTGACGGGTCAACACATGGAATAGGTGATTGCAAGATTGATGGAACAACATTGTGGGTTTGAAAATATTGAACATCTAAAAAACAAAGTAATCTGAAAACCCCAATTAAGACACATTTTTTCCTCACTTTGTTCCTTTGTGAAAAAACTCAAGCCTATATGGAAAACAACAGCCATCAATTTTTTAAATTTGCAACAGATTTTCAACACGATGGCCTTTGACTGGTTCACTGTGAAGCTCTCTGGCAATATGTTTAATGACTGTCGTACCATTGGAAGTTAAATCTATCCCCCATTGAAGTCTTTTCCAGTCTTAACATAACATATTCCTCCAGATTTGTCCTGCAGCTCCAATCAGCTCTCCAGAATCATCTCCACAGCATGTTAGTGCCACGGCAAAATGTCAAAGCGGAGGGAGATTGTGCGTTTAGGTAGAGGTACACCCTTCCATGTTGGCCAAAAAGTAGAGAACCCTCCTCCACCTGTAGGTAGCCACTACATGGCTTTTTTTGGGAAAATGCAAATTGAGACTTTTTGTGGCTTTCTTTTAACAATGCCAGATTTCTCACAGTGAATGTTCTTGAATGTTGTAAAATGAATGGCAAACAGTGCACAGCACACTGATGTATTGTTGTTGCGTTTAAATTCATGTAGAACAAACATCGGCTAGTGAGTGGATCCTCTCCAAAGACAAAGAAAGACAGCTGCTGGCAAGATCAGGACTCATGAGTTTGATTGGTTGACGATGTGTGGAAATTCAAGTAATGACAGGTGGTGCAAAATGACTTAGAAATTGTGTATGTGACATGTTTGCTTTATATTTTACCACTGATCATTGACGTAGTTGTGATTATGCGAAACCTAACTAGTTTTTTTTATTTTTCTTTACTTTTTTCCTCTCTGGTGATTTGACCATGTGAGAAGGCAGTATCTAAACCAGGTAGAGTGCTGAATATGGAAGAGACAGATGGATGCATTGCCATTTTGGAAGCTGCTGCTTTGTGTAATGACTTGAAGAAAATAAACAGACTTTATGTGCTGTGCTGTTCAGTCAAGTCGGAGAGATGTCTCCAATTTTCCACACCACACCTCTCTGTGTAACAACCTAAGAAGAAGACAAAAATGCTTCATTTGTATTCCTGTGCCTCACACATGTAGTTTTTTTTTTTTTTTTGATACGTTTGCAAGCAAATTGGCAGGAACGACTGAATTCATTGTCGATGTTGTCGTAGGTACGTCCAGCATGTGTGCTGCGCACCTGGGTGTAGAGGGGGCATTTGCAGCATTGGTGGACTCAAGTCCCGAGGGAAACGTGGAGTTCATCGTGCAGTCAGCTGTGCATAATGAAGAAGCAAGTGGAGAGAGTGGGAGTGGCATGAAGAAAAATGGAAATGTCCGTAATTCCTCCATTTGCATGCCACGAAAGTCTGTCTCATGAGAACATGTGAATATTCTGCAGGAAGATTCCTTCTGTTCAGAGAAGCTGGAGTGGAAAAAAAACAACAAACAAAAAAACCCCCAGGAATATCACAAGATATTTTGGCAGATATGAAACAAAATACAGATCTTAAAACCAAAGGCATATGACATGACAGTAGAAACTATTTTCAAACCAAAGACAGGTGGGCACGTGGTTTGCTTGCTGCTTTTATTTCTCAGTGAAATACATGAAAATGTCACTTTATCTCCTGCATTGTGTTATAATAGAAAACTGCAATTAATTTCAAAATATCAGGTTCGATTCAGTTCAGCAGAGTGTCGCCCACAGGATTTCACTGTTACCAAACAAAGGAGATCATTTATTTATTTAAAAAAATAATATTACTATTACTGATGTTTTTTTCTCATGTGGACCTAG